CGTCATTGCAATGCACAAGCCACTTATGCAGAGAAACCACAATGAAAATAAACAGTTTTAAAACAACAAAAACATTGATATCTAATCGGTCATTGTCATTTTTGCATGAAGGGTCACTTGAAATTACGCTTACAGCCCCGTTAATATTATTGCTAACCTTTGTATATTATTTAAGTTTTTTAGAAAACCAAAAAAATCCAAATAGCATTACAGTCATACAATTTATGGGTTTACCCGCGGGTTTGAATTTCGGTTAAAACTGTTTTTTTAAGGTTTTCCAATTTTTTATAAGACAATTCAATTATATATATATTGATAACTAATTCTTGGATTATCATATCATAACATTTACAATAATGCGAGTGAATTTTCCTGAAATTTAGAGGATTTTTATGTCGACGACGACATTCTCATATTTTCCAAGAAATGTTTAAAAATCCAGCTCCAGTCATAAAAAATTTCAGGAAAAGTAAGACATACATTTTTATATTAAAGGAATTGAGTCTTTGCAACAAACTCTGATTTTCTAATCCCTATATCTTTAGATTCCAATGTCGGAGACCTTTGATATTACAAACTATGAGTTCTGTTAGATCAAATAATAAACGTTTGAAATATTAAAAGGTACACGACATTGGGTTTCAAAGATATAGGGATTAGAAAATCAGAGTTTGTGGCAAAGAATCAATAATTTTATACACTTAAATAATACGAATTAGATCAATTTATCTATTGGATTATATGGAAGGAACAGTTATAGATTTAAATCAAAATTAATAGCGATCCAATCCGAATTTGAATAGAATTCAGTCCAATCTCCCTTTAATTTAGCGCAAACTCTTCCTTTAAACTCGATTACCAAAGTGTTTAAATCCAAGAAAACAGCTGACTTACTTTTTGCGATCTCTCATTGGTGGAGTGTGGATTTTTTTCATGGCTCCTGATTGGTTGGACCTCTAAAGATATCCAATAAGAATTAACTTAATCCATTGTACAAAAACTATATGGATTATATATTTTTGAAGGAATAGACTAAAGTTTGGAATGACCGGGGATTCTACTTAATATTTGCCTTTAATACGAATTCTCGTCACTATGACTAATGGGTTAACTACTTAAATATAAACTTGATTTATTTATTTTACTGTCTTAATTTCAATTTATTTATTTTACTGTGTTAAATACAATTTATTTATTTTACTGTGTTAAATACAATTACCATGATACGAGTAAACTCAGTGCTTAATATCTTTATTGAAAAGAAGTTTGAACGGATTCTAACTAAATCGAAATTCTTTGTAAACAAATTAATGTTTTTCCCGAAGGTTGTCCTTATTCCACTTCAAACCTGACAGGAGGAAATGATAAAATTTATGCGAAATCACTGCAACGACTTTAGACCTCGTAAATTCTATTTTCGCACCAGCTTATGAGAAAACAAATTTATCTGGCTTCATATTAGAAGTACAAAAAATGCTTCTTCAAAATCTATACAATTAGATTTGATTACAAACATAAAAAGTTCAGTGTTACGTACAATTTGTGTTAGTTTGACGAGCTCATATTTCAAAGTTGAGTAAACATTAGATTATATAAAATCTGTTGCGGCGTAGTATTAAAGTTTTAATAATGTATTAGATAAACTTAAGGAAAACATATGGACTAAATATACAACTTAGAAGACTAACTTTGAAATGTCAACATTTATGCCATATTCACAACATTACCCTTTAAAACGGGAATCTGGAAAGATATCGTCGTTTTTCTAGTTTCTCCATAATCAATTTTCAAAGTGAAGACGTTAGATAGCTCATGCATTCATGATCAGATAAAGCCTAGCTTTGAAAGGGGTAAATTTGTTGAATGGACCCTCTCAAGGGTAAATTTGTTGAATGGACCCTTTAAAGGGTAAATTTGTAGAATGAACCCTTTAAAAGGGTAAATTTGTTGAATATACCCTTTAAAGGTTATATTTGTTGAATGGACCCTTTAAAGGGTAAATTTGTTGAATGGACCCTTTAAAGGGTAAATTTGTTGAATGGACCCTTTAAAGGTTATATTTGTTGAATGGACCCTTTAAAGGGTAAATTTGTTGAATGGACCCTTTAAAGGGTAAATTTGTTGAATGGACCCTTTCAAGGGTAAATTTGTTGAATGGACCCTTTAAAGGGTATATTTGTTGAATGGACCCTTTCAAGGGTAAATTTGTTGAATGGACCCTTTAAAGGGTAAATTTGTTGAATGGACCCTTTAAAGGGTATATTTGTTAAATGGACCCTTTAAAGGGTAAATTTTTTGAATGGACCCTTTAGAGGGTAAATTTGTTGAATGGACCCTTTAAAGGTTACTGCTCTCAATGCAGGATTTTAAATAGTATCTATTAAAGCTCTGGCTCTGAGGAGGAGCAATCAGGGGCTTACTCAGGATGTTGTCCAGTGGGTGGAGGGGGGCTTAATTTTTTCTTTCTTTTCAGAAGAACTCGGCACCCTTTGGGGCCTGAGAACGCCCATAAACCATAGGTTTTGTTTTTTACAAGGACTGGAAGGGGTGGGATTTCCACCCCCCCCCCCCCACCCTCGAGCACGTGTTAGAAGTCTGAAGGAGTTACACTTCGCTATTTCATCTATCGTATAAAATAATAAAAAAAACTTAATTTTTTCCTGCATTGTTTAAGTTAACATTAATACTTTATGGAAGTATATGTACTGGGACTAAATGAACTGAGTTATTGCCACAAACTCCGATTTTATAATCCATCTTCAGAACTCAATGTAGTACTAGTAGACTTTTGATATCTCAAACTACGAAAGTTTTTTAGATAAAAAAATCTAAAATTAAAATATCAAAAGTTTACACCATCAGGTTGCACAGATATAGAGATTAGTTCAAATACTTCACATTTTGTTCGTAATATTAAAGCATTACGATAATATCGAACACTAGATCTAAATTATAAAAACAATGTTAGATATATCTCACAAATAATTATATCTTTAACATTCTGCACAGCATTTCGTAATTTCATGACAAAATCTTAATGTCATCACCTAATTTTTATGTTTTTAGTCACCGTATGAAATATTTTCAGAACTCACATCTAAATATTCACATTGTCCTCGAAATTGTGCATTTTTACTAAAAACTTGCAAAAATTGCTGCTTTGGTGAATATATGTTATACCATCAATAGTAGTATCTAGATTGTTAGTTAATAGTTGAAGATTTTTAGAAAACAGACTTATCATGATACCAAGGACTAGAAAATTTATCAAACATATTACATTTATCATCAAGTAAAGTTACATTGGTTTAAATAACCAACCATGATTTCATTTTCATCAAAATCCAATTTCTCTTCGTGCAAAACTTAAAAAAACTAAAAATTTCCGAATTTTCTATTTTTTTATTATTATTTTTATTATTAATAGTACAGTTTAATCCCAATTATGGGCGAACGACATTTTGAACTATATCTTAGAAACAATTGCAACCCAACAAGCAGACAATTTGTATACGCTTTAGTTTATTTTCCACTTATAAATCAGCGTCAATATGGCTAAACAGTTAATTCTAAACTGTTTACAACATTTATAATAATTTGATTACATCAGTACCTAGAACTTTAAAAGACGGTATTTAATTGAAAAACATGGATAGATACATTAATATAAGTGATTATATAGACAGGGTTACCAACAAAGAATAAGACTGTTAAGACGACCTAAAGCTCTTTTGTGTGACGATCCCATGGTTAAATTTAGTCTAAGAAATAAGTTTACAGTTTACAATACATCTTTTCACAGAAGATCAAAATGTAAAACCTCCTTAAAACGGAAGTCTAAATGCTTTACAAGAGAAAGTGCAAAAACTGGAGTTCTCAAATTCATGATAAAAATTTACAAAAAGTGCTAAAACTGGAGTTCTCAAATTCAGGATAAAAATTTACAAAAAGTGCTAAAACTGGAGTTCTCAAATTCAGGATAAAAATTTACAAAAAGTATGAATGTTCCTGGACTAGATTATCATTTTAGTTATATTTTAGTTCTGAAACGAGGTCTTAACTTTTGATGAAACGAATAAATTTAATCCCATTTAAAACAGTTAGGGGATTAACAGACTTCTTATTGGTCCAGATATTTTTGGGATTCGGGACCGAATTTAATGAATTGGTAATTGAAGATTTAAATCGTCGATAGGTTGACTCAAATTCACTAAATTCGGTCTCCGAGCATTTATAATTAAATTAATAATCTCTTAGAGAGCACAGAAAGAGTTAAACCTGTTTTGACCATGTAAAATGTTCTATCTTCAGGTTGCCAAACTTATTAAAAGTCTCCTACACTCTCTGTCAAAATATCTGAGATCTAATTGAAATGAAAAATAAGTTTGAGCTTTATTTATTAAAGTACGCCACTTACACACATCCTCTTGGAAGATTTTAGATTTTTTTCTTTGGATACAGTTTTTAGATAGTGAACTTTTGGTGTCTCTTGACAAAAAATCGTTTCTAGCTATAACGAATTAAATAGATTAACACATACTTATAATCTATTTGGTATAAATAAAGTAAAAAATTCATTTTATAATAGTCTAGTATCAAATTAACACTTGCCTTAGATTTTAAAAGGTAAAATTAAGGAAATGTTTTGACATTTATAAGAAATTTAGCGTTATTTTACAAATTTTACTAATTCTAAAATTCCTATCCTTTTAGTTTTTTACTTTTCCTCCTGCTCTTCCTTCTCCTCTTTCTACTCTTTCTCCTCCTTCTCCTCCTTCTCCTCCTTCTCCTCCTCCTCCTTCTCCTCCTTCTCCTCCTTCTCCTTCTCCTCCTTCTCCTCCTTCTCCTTCTTCTCCTNTGTATCTCAAGTTATAGCTGTAATAAATCTCTCCTGCATGGTAATCTTCTCCTTCTCTCCTCCTTCTCCTCCTATTCCTCCTGCTCCTCCTCCTTCTCCTTCTCCTTTTCCTTATCCTCCTACTTAATTTTTTCCCCTTTTCTCCTACGTCTCCTTTTTCTCCTTCTCCTCCTTTTCCTCCCTCTCCTCCCTCTCCTCCTTCTCCTCATTCTTCTCCTTTATGTGAATGATGATCATGAATACGTTGATCTTGAACTACTTGTCTCTGACCCTGTTGAACCATTCTCTAGTTCTTCTCTTCTGAAATATAAAAGATGGTTTAATTGTAAAACTGTGTATTGATTTTTTTCCGATAAATGTGTACACAGTTTGTTAACCAATTTGGGATCGGCACTTTTGTGTATGGATATTTTTAATCTTGAACACTTGATGTCGATATTCAATGTTAAATTTGAGGATGATCAATACTTGATCTCTCCCACAAAATTATCCCAGCAGAATATTAACGAGGAATAAAATCAATCCATTGATCTACGTAGGATGGAGATCAAGGATTGATCCCAAGATTTAAAACACAGAGTTTTGACTTCAGGTGTTTCTAATAACAGCGTAATTTTATCTAATATATTTTCATGATTCTCAGAACGGAGACCATTATTTATTATTTAAATGTTAGACATGTTTTATAACATGTAAAATATTTTTGTTAAATGTTTAATTTGAGAGTTTTTACTGTATAAAGTTTATATCTTAACCCTGAAACGAATTCTAGCACTCTCACTTTTTACACTTCGCATCCAAACTTTTTTGTCTTCAAAAAAAAATTTGAAGCATTTTAGTGAAGAATTTTTGTTTTTATGACTGCTTATAGGGTAGGTACTAGGTACAGGACTGTTGCTGTTAAAAAATGAAATATTATAGGTACCTTATACAAATCTAAGAATTTCATTTTTGAAAATTGGGATATAAACATGTTTCGCACCTCCAATCTCCTTCGCAAATATGTTCTGCCACCCCCCTNAATAATAAATACAAATTTTCTAAATAAAAAACGAAGAAAGTCAGTAAAAGACTAGATGTTAAATTTAAGCATTACCCCGCCCCCCGCCCTTGGAAAAGTTGTGATCAAATATCAAAGCCAGAAAAAAGTACTTGATTTATCAAAAATTAGTATTTTTATATTACAAACAAATTATCCACCCCCGGACAAAAAAAGTTGTGCTCCAGGTTATGTTATGACAACGCATTTTTGTTTGGCTTATGTCGGTTAAAAGTTTAAAATCTGTACCTGGCCGCTAGAACTAGTTCTGTTTCAAGCTCTTTAATTCTTTTATTCTTTTCTCGGAGGATATCCAACCTCTCATTCATCATCCAACCTTGTCCTCCGTCCCCTTCTCCTCCTCCTCCTCCTCGGTTAGCTCCAAGAAGCGCATCTTTTTCCTCCAACTCTTCTCTGTTTACATGTATAAGTTAATATCAAGGAAAACTCGTAATAATGATTATGAAAGAGTAGAAAATATGAGAATCAATTAGAAAATTAAAATAATGGAAATCTATTTGATTTTTATACATTTAATCTTTTAAATAGAAAAAAGTTTAATTTTATCAACAGCTGCATTACTATTATTTCAAGCTTCGATTCAAACTGTTCTACGAACATGGTTGCAAATTAATGCAAAAAATACGTTTGTAGAGATAAGAATATTTTGCAGAAAAATGTTTGAGATTAAATATTTCAAAAACATGAAATTGTCTAATCCCTATTTCTTTGAAACTTGGTGGTGTGAAGCTTTGATATTTCAAACTGAGATTATTTAATCTAACAGAATTCATAGTTTAACTGACTAAGGATCAGAACATCGGGTTGCGAAGCTAAAAGAATTAGAAAATCAGAGTTTGTTGCAACGACTCAATTCCTTTACAATGGGATCTCATTTAGATTTGAGATTTGAAATATGAGATTTTTCTTACGAAAATTTTTGATAATTTGAAAATTAAAAAAAAACTTTTTAAAAAGGAATTTTTGCAGTTTTGGGAAAAAGTATCTCTTTCCGTTAACGAATCTACTATCTAGTAAACCGTGCAATCTGTTTGTTGTGCAAAAATGATCATCAAGTACGAACCTGAGAGCTATTATTTTCTTCTCCAGTAGCATGTACTTCAGACCAGATTTCTGCTGTATCTCTAGTATAGCTGTACTAAATCTCTCCTGTACAATATAACAATTAGATCATGTACTTCAGACCAGATTTTCGCTGTATCTCAAGTATAGCTGTAATTAATCTCTCCTGCATGGTAAAACAATAAAAACATGTACTTCAGAAAGATTTTCGCTGAATCTCAAGTTATAGCTGTAATAAATCTCTCCTGCATGGTAAAACAATTAAAACATGTACTGCAGACAAGATTTTTGCTGTATCTCAAGTTATAGCTGTAATAAATCTCTCCTGCATGGTAAAACAATTAAAACATGTACTGCAGACAAGATTTTTGCTGTATATATATATACTGTACTAAATCTGTACTGTATGGTTAGACAATTAATGCACTAAATCTTTCGTAAATAGTTTGATAAATAGTTCGAAGCGCCCTTACAATCTATATTTTTAAAATTCTACACTCTGTGGGGTTTTTTAATATTATGGATAGCATTTTTATAAAATTGGATACCGCAATTAGAGAGCTTATTTGTTGGCAGTCATTCAACTTTGGCTGTCAAATAAGAGATTTATTTTTTAATAGATAAAAGATAATTTGACGCCTATTTGCCAGTCTTTCGACTTTTGCTTCCAAATAAGCGATATTTTGATTCGTAATTTAGAGTGAAAACTTTAAAAATTGACGAAGGGAAAGACGTGTAAGGTTAATTAAGATCTTGTTATTCCACATTTTAATAATGAATACTCGAGATCGCACGAAAGATCGAGGAAATGATCTTCTCACTCCTCTGCCGCTTTAGTAATTGTAAAGGAATTGAGTTTTTTGCCAGAAACTCTAATTTTCTAATTTCAATATTGTTGCAATCCAATGTCGTAGACCTTTAAATTTCCAACTATGAATGGTATTGGATCAAATAATGTAAGTTTGAAATATCAAAGGTTTACATCAGAAGGTTGCAAAGATAGAGGTTTTACAAAAACTGAATTTGGGGCAAAGACTCAATTCCTTTGAGGTACAGTCCAATGTAGGACTGCAAAGGTTGGCCCCGCTCGGATATCTAATGTGCACGGGTGAGGCGTCACTTATTCAAAAGTTTACATCTTGTGTATGACGTCTAAATTCATTGTAAATGCAACAGTGACGGTTTAAAAGAGGAAAGTTTGGTCTCAAAGGAAATGAAACTTTTATATTGAACGTTTAAACACATCTTTCTTTGACAGGAGGGAAGCAGAAAAATATCCTTTACAGAGTCTGTGATTTTTTATTTTTTCGGGGAAAAACTCAAGACTAAGCTATTATTGAAACTAATTTTAGACTCGAGTTTTGGGATTTAAGTTGCAACTAATTCTCCCCATGGAATTTGGGTTATTTATCCGGTTTAATAATGTATTTGGTAAATTTTTATGGTTGGAATTGGCGGATTTCGGGATTTGATTAAAATAAATCCCAACATTGAGACTTACTCTTCACAAAAACCAACCATAGTCGTTTTAATTTTTATCGGGACTAACATCGGGCTGTCGATCACGTGAAAAAAGCTGCCGTCAGCTGAATCATACGTTGGGTCTAAGATAAAGCCCTATACTTAGGTATAAGGAATATAAGACCCGAGCTGAACTTTTAAATCGCAGGCTCAGAATAATAGATTTTCCAAAATAATTTCTTTCTACGGTTTTCACTTTTTGAGTGATGCTGACTTCTCACATTTCATGAAAGGTTTTTAATATAGGATGTATTAATCAGCTAAATTTTCTTTCTAATATTTCTTAATAGAAAGATAGTTGACAGAAAAGTACAGTATGAAAATTCAAATGTAAAAAAAGAAAATGTTGTTTAAAAATAAATTTTTTGAATTTTTTAAATTAATTCATCGGATTTTTCCATTATTCTACATGAATACAATAGCATACAAAAATATCTTTTCCATAAAGTTGGAAATAAAATTATTCGTTTTCCTTGAATAGCTACTCCACGATTCCTTCTCCATGAAAACCCACACCATAATTCCTTTTTCAGGAAAAATTACTTCATAATTCCTTTTTCCATAAATAATTACTCCAAGATTTCTTTTCCATAAATAATTACTCCAAGATTTCTTTTCCATAAATAATTACTCCAAGATTTCTTTTCCATAAATAACTACTCCACGATTTCTTTTCCACGAATAATTACTCCACGATTTCTTTTCCATGAATAATTACTCCATTTCTTTTCCATGAATAATTACTCCACGATTTCTTTTCCATGAATAATTACTCCACGATTTCTTTTCCATAAATAACTACTCCACGATTTCTTTTCCATGAATAATTACTCCACGATTTCTTTTCCATGAATAACTACTCCACAATTTCTTTTCCATGAATAACTACTCCACGATTTCTTTTCCATGAATAATTACTCCACGATTTCTTTTCCATGAATATTTACTCCACGATTTCTTTTTTTGTTCTTCACAATAACTCTCCCATAAGAGGATAAATGATAGAACACATATAAGATTTCTATCATATACGTGAAATTTACTTTATATTGGCGTGCTACTCCATCATTCATTTTCTATGTATAAACACCCCTTGATTCCTTTTCATTACCCGTCTAGTCCATTACCCCGGTCGTGATTCCTTTTCAGCAGATAATTACTCTGCAATCCCTTTTCTGTATGATAACTACTGCGTAATTCCTTTTCCTTAGATATCTACTGCTGATTCCTCTTCCGTAAATATTCCATGTTTAACTACTCCGTGATTTATATGCCACGTTTAACTACTCCGTGATTTATATTCCATGTTAAACTACTCCGTGATTCCTCTTCCGTAAATAGCTACTCCGTGATTTATATTCCATGTTTTACTACTCCGTGATTTATATTCCATGTTTTACTACTCCATGATTTATATTCCATGTTTTAATACTCCGTGATTTATATTCCATGTTTAACTACTCCGTGATTCCTCTTCCGTAAATAGCTACTCTGTGATTTATATTCCATGTTTTACTACTCCGTGATTTCGTGTTTCTAACTTCTGATATATATGAATGTCATACATTCATAATTTAAAGAATATTCATAATACCCTTTTCGAAAGAAAAACTGGATTGATTTTTCTTGTGTACGTATGTGAAATAGTATTAAGATACCTGTAATTCATCTCGTTCTCTCGACACTTCACAGTATTTTTGCAAAAGTACATCCTGTTCCCATTTAGAGGCTTCAACCTCCCTTAATCAATTTACTCGTAAAAATAATTCGGGTTTAATGACATAGACCTTTGATATTCAAACTATAAATTATGAATTAGTCTAAGTTTTAAATATCAAAGGTTAACACCGTCAGGTTGCAAAAATTATTTTGTTAAACTATACAGTATAATTATTTATTCTGACATGTACGGTGGTAAATTTTGAATATAAAGCATTTATTGCCACAATCTCAAATATAGTCTAATCTCTATATATTTCCAACCTGATGTAAACCTTTAACATATTTAAAATTTAGATTATTTGATCTCAGAGATTTATAAGTTTAAAATATCAAAGGTCTACTACATTGGGTTATACAGATATATAGGGATTACAAATAAGATTTATGTCCACGACACAAATCCTTTAGAAAACTCATGAATTTAAAATCAAAATGATATCTCTCTTAAAGAATGATTATCTACCGGATTCCATGATAATTTAATTAGCTCTTATTTTTGCCAAATAAATACCTCGTTAGGACTTTCAGTTTGGCTTTACAAGCAATAAGTGCGTTCTTATCCTTCTCCTGGTTACCCAGTATACCTGAAAAAGAGATATGTGGGAGTTTTCTTTAGAAACAATAACCTAGATTTTTTAAAGGATTCGTATTTTTCATAAACAGAAAAATAGAAAACTTATATAAAATGGCACGTTAAAAATAAATAAGACATATTATTAAAAGGTGTTTTCAATGATTGTATTAAACAGAAAACAAAAACAAATTAATTACGGATAGGCCGTTAGATTCACTTCACAAAACATAGGACTGTGATGTCCTATCCCTGTATCTTTGAAACCTGATGGTGTAAACCTTTGATATTTCAAAACTAAATCATTTGATCTAACAGAATTCATAGTTTGAAATATTTAGGGTCTACGAAATTGGGTTGCAAAGATATTCGGATTAGAAAATCAGAGTTTTTTTTTTTACTTGAAAGTTTTAGTTATTCACTTGAATAACAAAAACTAGCAGAAACTAAAATTAACTAGATATTATAACGAGGTTTAATGCTATTATCAGCATTCAAAACATATTCTCCCTAATTTAATTTTTAAAATAAATACTATTTTTGTTGAGAATTATAGAACTCTACGAATTTTAGAATTTAAAATATACTTTGTAGGATTTTTAATACTCGAGTATAGTGTGTTTAAAATCATTTAGAGCAGTTTTCGGAAAAAAAGTTTATGAAGCCTTAAACAAGCATCGCTTAAAAGCGCGCGCAATGTCCTATAGCGCGCAAACCTCTTTACTTTTCCTATTTAACATCATAATTGAGAGAGTTACGTAAGTGTGTAGTAAGATTTTAATTACACCGGAGGGAATTCATTTTCACTGGAGGGGTTTTAAAAAATGCTTTATACAATTTAAAACTCTACCCAGGGCGATTTACATTCGACACTGGCAGATATCTAGATCAAATTTTGTAAAGACCATTTTTTTTAGGAAATATAGGGTTGGAAATACTGGTCAAAAGGCTGGCCGCCGGTTGTTGTTCAGAAACAATAATAAAATGTTTACAAATCTAAAATTCACATATGAACAAATCATTGTAAATATTTGCTAAAAAAATTAACTTTTTCAGACGAACTTTTTAATGTTTTTAAATTATTTAAGTAGCGGTTAACAGAAAATTTAAACATAAGTAATAATAATAATAATAATATACTAACTCAACTCTTAGTGAGAAGGGGGAGTAGGTAGGTTGAACCCCACCCCCATTCCCAACCTTTATTAGTTCATTTCATTTACCTTTAAGTCTCTGTAATTCTTCCTTTGCTTTCTTCAATGGTTCAGAGAGCTTTTTATTTTCTGCTTGAACCATAGAAACTTGTTTCTCACTCCTAAACAGTTCGCATTTATTATTAAATATATTTGGTGTCCGTCTATCTCTGTCTGCAGTATGCTTACTTAGCAACTTGACATTCATGTTGTATAAAAGATTAATTTATTAATGAAGAGTGAGTGAAGACCACATTACAGAGAGTCAAGACTCTCCGGCCATTCTTACAATTTGTTATTAATAACAAACGGTCAGAGCAATTTTTTTAATCCTTATTTGCAAACCCTTGATATTTCAAGTTTAGACTATAATATAAAAGAATTCATAGTTTACAATATTAAATTCTCTTCGACATCGGGTTGAAAAAAAAGAGGAATTAGAAAATTTGAGTGTGTGTAGTAAAACCTCAGTTCCTTTCCATTAATTAAAAACCAAACATCAAAGCTAGTTTTACTTAATTCTCATGTTTAACATGACACTCTTAGAAATAAGAGCGGGGAACTTTTGAGTTGATATATTTTCTTATCAAAAGTTTCCAACTCAAAGCAAATTTGCTTTGTTTGATTAAACAATCTTACTGCACAATATTTTCAATCTTAAAACCCTAATTTAAACAGAATAAATATTAGGCTTCATCTTAAAATTCGCATGTTTCGTTTCACGTGTTCCACATACTTGGGACACGTGGATTTTTAACAGATGATTTAAGACATACATTTCTCTATTTGGGACAGATTTCTCACAGATGATTTGGGAAGTTTTGATGAATATTTCTTACAGATGATATAGGAAATTTTGAGAAACATTTCTTACAGATGATTTGCGAAGTTTTGATGAATATTTCTTACAGATGATTTAAGAAATATTTCTTACAGGTGATTTAGGAGATATGATTTACAAATGATTTGAAACATATTACTTGCAGATGATTTGAGACATATTTCTTAAAGATGATTTGAGACATATTTCTTACAGATGATTTAAGAAATATTTCTTACAGATGATTTAAGAAATATTACGTACAGATGATTTAAGAAATATTATTTCCAGATGATTTGATCAATATTTATTACAGATTATTTTAGAAATATTTCTTACAGATGATTTAAATTGAATAAAAATTCTAAAATCACTAGGAAATATATAAAAGAAAAGAAGAAACTTATTTACAAATGAATTATCTAAGAATAAACTTTTACATTCTTATATTCATTCGGAAACGGTCGTATGTCAAATTGGAATCAAGTCTTTGCGACAAACTTAAATTTTATAATTCCTATATCTTTGTATCATTTCATTTCTAAGGTCTACGACGGTTGCAAAGATATAGAGATTAGAAAATCAGAGTTTGTGGCAAAGGCTCGATTCCTTTAAAATGGTTTCTTTCTTATTTGTGACAAAATTAAATGTTAAAAACCGGAAATAAAAATTCGAAAATTCGGCAAAAGAAGAATTGGAATGACAATTTGTAGTGATTTTTTGGGGGGATTACAGGCAAAATTTTAATTAACCCTCCGTGTATAGAGTGACGAGTCCGATTCACATGAGTACTCTGAATGATCAATAAAAATTGATTCTTATCTTATCTGTTCTATATTTAAGAAATATTAATATTAACTTACTAGAACTTAAAAGTCATAGAAAATAAATATTACAAAAGAATCATTAAAATCCTTTGTATTGAGTTCACACTGTACGCTTTTTTGCGTCAATTCAAGCACTAGTGGCGAGATATAAACACTATGATTAGTTAACGTTAAAATGAGTACCGTAGTAAATCAGCCAAAACAAAAGAATAAAGTAGTTTTCTGATCTGGGACCAGGCCGGCTAACTAATTTATTGTTGAATGTAATGTGTGTCTGTACCAAAAGAGTGTGTGTAAGTGATACCGAACCGAAGGTGTGTACTGTAGGTATATACAGTGCATAAGAATCTCGGTATTTGTACAGTCTATAGGAGAGTACATTTGTTTATTGTTAATCGTTTACATAAAAATAAGTTTGATATATATGTAATATATTATTTATACATTTAAATCAATGCGTTAAGCCAAATTTTCATGCAAAGAGTATAATTTGATTAAAGTTTACAATAAACTACTCGTTATTCAAACTTAATTATAATTGACGACATTGTTCTGCAATTTTTTTGACTGTAGTCATGTTGTGTGTCTGTAAAAAAAGAGTGTACATGTGTGATAACGAACTCGTCTGTAAAGCAGTGCGACTGGCTTTCTCAGCCAGAACAGCGCCATTTCCTTTCCCTTTATTCGTATTCCCTGGGTTGGATGTTATGTTTTTGAAATTTTGAAACTTATGTTAATAAACAGCTTATGGTTACCTGGCCAATAGTAAAGGTTTTTAAACGGAGAAAAGATTTTTATATATACATATTGCCATGTATCAATCTCTTTATATATACATATTGCCATGTATCAATCTCTTTATATTTACATATTGCCATGTATCAATCTCTTTATATTTACATATTGCCATGTATCAATCTCTTTATATTTACATATTGCCATGTNTGTACACAATTTTATCGTTTTTTGAGATGAAAATGCGCGAACTTTTTCTTAAAAACTTCATATAGAGGGTGGTTATTTTACATAACTGTCCCAAGGTACGTAAAGTAACTTAACCTCCCTCTATTGGGAGAATCATAGGTCGATATTGCCATGTATCAATCTCTTTAGTTTCATTTTACTTTACTTGATTCCCGTAACCTCGCCTCCACACTTAACCAAGACCATGACAAGTTATTTTACGCGTCTAAGGACTAACCATGGAGTGAGGAGATACGTTCGATTTCTTCTATTTGAATTCAATCCCGTTTTTTGGTCTTTAATATACTTTTTATACTTTTTAATTCAAAATGCAGATGACGATAAACAGGTTTAAAGGACAAAAGACGAAAAATTATGTTTAAGTGGTCAAATGGTGATCGGAATTCACAGTTTGCTGGGAAAAGGACCGGACAGTTAGATCAGCGTGAGAAGGGAGATAAAAAAAGTCCCAGATTGCAGTGATAAGGACCGGACAGTTAAAACCGCGTGAGAAGGGAGATAAAAAAGTCCCAGATTGCAGTGATAAGGACCGGACAGATAAATCCGCGTGAGAAGGGAGATACAAAAGTCCCAGCTTGCTCTGATAAGGACAGGCCAGTTAGATCCGCGTGAGAAGGGAGATACAAAAGTCCCAGCTTGCTGTGATAAGGACCGGACAGTTAGATCCGCGTGAGAAGGGAGATACAAAATCCCCAGCTTACTCTGATAAGGACCGGACATTTAGATCCGCGTGAGAAAGGAAAAAAATGATAAAATTAAAAAGTCTCGAAATAAGTTTTATAGTACACATCAATAGAATTATGACGCAGATAATATTCATTAAATACTAAATATATCTGTGACTCGGTTCAAGCATCCGTCTAAATACTATTTTTAGCTTATTCATACATTAAAAATATAATTCTGATCTTGATATTTTATCTAAGAATATGACGTCAATATACCTTTCTATTTTTTGTTCTTTTTCTTTAATTTCCTCTTTCAGGGTTGCAATCATTGCCAAGTTGTTCAACGTTATATCGTTATAATAGTTCTGTTTACGATACACAACCATGTAAATCCATTATTCATAAATAAACAACAATTCCATAACTCAAAATTTAACAGAAGTAAGATCGAGATCAATCGCTGATCTCCATCGTATACTTATTATTTAATTCCTCTTCGATATCCTATGGTGGTCATTCCCTGCAGGGATAATTTAGATTGAGGGATTACGTATTTATCCTTAAATTTATCGTATTTAACGTTTCGAGATCAAATGTTCAAGATTAATAATCCAATGAAATTCAAATATGGAGTGTTTTCCTTGATTTCATTAAAAGCTTTCTCGTGGCTCTTCTTTACGTGTTCAATCTGATCATTCTTCTGCTCTGCCACATGGCTTACTTCAGTCTTTGCTCTCAGTCCTAACTCAGACCTAGAGTAAACTAAATGAGAGATAAAGGAGGAAATTAGAACTGAACTGAGTTTGTTGCATCCTTGGAATACATCTACCTGAGTTGGTTGTATCCTAACATACATCTACCCCTGTAGGTTGTATCCTGGTAGCTGGTTGTATCGTGGTACCCATGAGCTGGTTGTATCCTGGTACCTGAGCTAGTAGTATCCTGATAACTGAGCTGGTTGTATCCTGGTACGCAAGCTGGTTTTATCCTAGTACCTGAGCTGGTTGTATCCTGGTACCTGAGCTGGTTGTATCCTGGTACCTGAGCCGGTTGTATCTATCCTGGTACCTGAGCCGGTTGGATCTATCCTGGTACCTGAGCTGGTTGTATCTATCCTGGTACCTGAGCCGGTTGTATCCTGGTACCTGAGCCGGTTGTATCTATTCTGGTACCTGAGCCGGTTGTATTTATCCTGGTACCTGAGCTGGTTGTATCTTTCCTGGTACCTGAGCCGGTTGTATCTATCCTGGTACCTGAGTCGGTTGTATCCTGGTACCTGAGCTGGTTGTATCTATCCTGGTACCTGAGCTGGTTGTATCCTGGTACCTGAGCTGGTTGTATCCTGGTACCTGAGCTGGTTGTATCTATCCTGGTATCTGGTTTCCATTTCTCTGGATTGATCTTCAAACTTAGTCCTAAGTTCTTCTATCTGCTCCGTCTGCCTCAGTTTTATATCTCTGCATAAACAAACATCAGATCTTTTACTTTTTATTTCAAAATCTAAACAAGTTTAACACAAACCAATTCCAATCTGATGGTGTAAACCTTTGATGCTTTCATGGTTTGAAATATCATAGGTCTACGACATCAGTTTGCAAAGATAAAGGGATAAGAAAGGTAAAATTTATGAATACTATTTTTTTGGGTTAAAATAAATCTGCTGCTTTCCTAATGTGTTGTAAATACTGTTTATCTTTGTTGTGAAGCTGCTCTTTTAACTGCTCTTTATCTCTTAGATGAAGCTGCTCCTGTTCTCGATGCTCTTCCCGAGCAACCTTAGCAAAAAATGTAGTCTTAAAATATTTATATGCTTAAAATATATAGTTTTCTGACGTTTACTTGATCCCGACAAAGTAACTGTCTGGAAAAAGGTTGAATTACAGTGGAACCCATTAAACTATGGAATAGGAAGACTTCATTTAAGCAAGCAGTAGCTTGAAAATCAAATTATTAAGTGAAATGTGTCTGAGTATACTTCACAATTGATATGCTTTAAGTTTATTGGACTACTTACTTAAAATCATAGCTCTACTAATCTTCTAGCTCTTATTCCACAGTGTTATGGGTTTTCCAAAAACAATTTTAAGAAAAAATTAGCTAAAAAGTTAAATTCTTGGGAAATACATGTGTCCGATCTTTTCTTTGACGTTATGCATGCACTAAACAATAGAAAAATATACTTATAATCAGATGATAACTCTTGCCTTGAGTGAGACCATATTCTCTGCCTTGATCTCCGCAATGTTGTTCTCCTGCTCGTAGAGTAGATGCTTGACCTTCTGCTTGAACACCTTGACCTCCATCATGTGCCTCTCTTCGCTCTCCTCCAGCTCACGGTCCTTCACTCGAACCTAGAACACCATAGTAGATTTTATATTTTCTAGTCAAAACACAGTATCTTACCGATTCTTCCCACTATCTGAAAAAGTGCAACCCCTTGTTATTATAATTTTTCAGGTTAGTTTAGGCTTGGATAGATCTGTAGTCACTAGAGGGGAGGGGGGGGGAGTCCGATATACAGCTGTTAATAAATTCCCCCCCTAAAAAAAATTTAAACATAAAGTTTTGATTAAAATTCATTGTTTCATTGCTATTTTTTATTTCAACTGAATGCGAAAAAAAAATTGTGTTTTGATACAGATACGAAAAATAAAAACCGACCTCCGCCCTCGTCTCATCCAACTCCTTCCTGGTGACCTCCCAGAAGGTGTCGATCCTGTCCCTCTCCATCTGGTAGAAGTTTCTCTCGTTTCTCTCCTTCTGCAGTTCCTCCTAGACACAGTACCATAAGCATTGCTATAATCAATAACCATTTTTTCTTAAAAATTTTAATATCATTTTCATAAAATATTGGTTTTTTTTTCTCATTCAATTCGTGACAATATTATTATTTCTCTTCATGATCACCATTATTAGAATATTAGTTATTACTAATATTTAATACTATATAAATAAATATTTATAAAATATCATTTCATAAATTTTAGGGCGTATTTTCAGAAAGCGAAAAAAAAATACAGTTGACAAAATTGTTGGAGACGGAAAGTATATTTTTTTAAAATGTGAGCGAAGACGACAATGTCTAAGATTATTGTAAATCAAAATAATAAAGTAACCTGAAGTCTCCGAACGTGTCCCTCTATGTGCTCTCGTGTCATTTCACTTGCAGGAACTCCATCTAGGCAATAAAGTGTCAAACTTTCTAATCATTTGAAACTTAAGATGGAAACTATTGTTGTGGATAATCGAAAACTAGGCTTTTGTTCATCTACAGATTAATTTAATCCACTGATCTAAAATGTATTGTTTCCCCGCAGGAATAACTGAAATAAAGATTACGGGATTACGGGAATCCTACAATAAAGAGATCAAGCAGTGATCTTCATTAATATCAAGGTAAACCATTGAGGAATACGGGCATCCTACAATAAAGAGATCAAGCATTTATCTTCATTAATATCAAGGTAAACCATTGAGGATTACGGGAATCCTACAATAAAGAGATCAAGCATTGATCCTCATCAATATTAAGGTAAACCATTGAGGATTACGGGAATCCTACAATAAAGAGATCAAGCACTGATCCTCATTAATATCAAGGTAAACCATTGAGGATTATTGGAATCCTACAATAAAGAGATCAAGCATTGATCTTCATTAATATTAAGGTAAACCATTGAGGATTACGGGAATCCTACAATAAAGAGATCAAGCATTGATCTTCATTAATATCAAGGTAAACCATTGAGGATTACGGGAATTCTACAATAAAGAGATCAAGCACTGATCCTCATTAATATCAAGGTAAACCATTGAGGATTACGAGAATCCTACAATAAAGAGATAAAGCATTGATCCTCATTAATATCAAGGTAAACCATTGAGGATTACGGGAATCCTACAATAAAGAGATCAAGCAATTGATCCTCATTAATATTAAAATAAACCATTGAGGATTACGGGAATCATACAATACAGTTCCCACTTATGATGTCATGCACCCAAGAATTTAAAGAATTTGTTAACAAAATTGATTGATTACTTGCTTTAAAATTATGAACCTTATTTCAAGAAATTTTGGATTCATTAAACCTTTACTCTGTTGTCTGAACAGACCAGCCAAAAAATGACCGGATTTGGTCTAAGTTGAGAAGTATATCTGTGTTGTTTTGACTCGTTGAGGACACAATTTCAAGAATGCACAGAAAACCAAAAAACTGATATAAGTAATTTTTCAAATATTTATATGAAATCTGAGATTTTCCTTTTTCTAGAGAAAGTTTTTATAAAATGTGTGTTTTAAAGATTTTATTTGCAAAAAACTGAACTATCTTTTACATAATGTCGTAAAGTTTGCAACCTGTCTTGTGAAGCTCGAGATCAATCTACGGATCAATTTAATTCCTCTTCGATATCCCATGATAGACATACCCTGTAGGAATACCTTTATTTGAAGGATCAAGCATTGATCCTCTAATTTAAAAGTTCCCATATTGGATATCGAGATCAAGCATTGATCCTCTAATTTAAAAGTTCCCATATTTGATATCGAGATCAAGCGTTTAATAATAACAATATCCAGACAAAATTTCCGACCCCCGAAGGATAAACCTTTGATCTTTATAACCTTGTCTATGATATCAAGTTGAGCAAATATTAGGATTTGAAAATGAAAGTATCAGTTTTCTTGGGTAAAAATAAGATGAGAAATTAAACTAATGTTTTTAATAAACTATTATTTTAAAAACCCTTACCTATTATTGTTGGTCCCTTAGAGGAGCCGGATTTTTTACCCCCTTTCCCCTTCTTTCCCCCCTTAGCGGCTCCTTTTTTAGGAGGCATTTTTCTACAAATTTTCAAAGACTTCAACTTATTTTTATTGATATTGTTATCAGGGAGCTAGTATTTAGTATAGTATATAATGGTATCTGGTATCTCTAGTATCTAGTATCTAGTATCTAGTATCTAGTATCTAGTTTTTAGTATCTAGCATCTAGTATCTAGTATCTAGTATCTAGTATCTAGTATCTAGTATCTCTAGTATCTAGTATCTAGTATTTAGTATCTAGTATCCAGTATCTAGTATCTAGTATCTAGTATCTCTAGTATCTAGTATCTAGTATTTAGTATCTAGTATCAAGTATCTAGTATCTAGTATCTTATCTAGTATCTAGTATTTAGTATCTAGTATCTAGTATCTAGTATCTAGTATCTAGTATCCAGTATCTAGTATCTAGTATCTAGTATCTAGTATCCAGTATCCAGTATCTAGTATCTAGTATCTAGTATCTAGTGTCCAGTATCTAGTATCTAGTATCTATATAAAGGTATCAATTGGTTTATATTATAGACCAAACTAAGGTAGAGAACCAAGTATCCCCCGTATCTCTAGGTATACCTGGATAGACAGTATATTCACCGGGTTCAAGCTTTCTCAAATAATAAAACTTTATTTTCTTACATTTTATTCTGACTTTCCTTTCACACAGAAAATATAAGTTAATTATAATATATTATGGGACTAATATTATTTTGAATATTTTTTCTTTTCTTTTTTAATACCTGCTTTTTTTCTTCTTTTTTCATTCATGCATCAAAGGGACTGTACGCGTAATTTCAAAGGACCTTTCATATTATAAAGTGGCAGGCCTGATTTACAACAATACTCTTTAAACCTTTGCTTTATTAAGGATTTCGTAGATATTCTTATATATAGCGGGATAAGCCAAATGAAACTGCGCGAGTTTACACTAGCACTGACAAAGGGTTTGAGTGTGAGTCGGACAGTCCTCTTTGTAAATAGAATGACATGTTTATTTGCATTTTCAAAAAACATGGGAATTAAGGGACGACTTAAATATTTTTTCTGGACCAAAATAATTGTAGCGGATAAAAATAATTATTGACACAAACTCCCAGATGTTGCCAAACTAATTATTTACAGGGAAGTTAAATGGGTAATTTGACTAACTCCGTATAGTGTATACTCGGAGTCATCCCCCGCCCACTCTCCAAATCAGCTGATCCCTCGGAGTCAACTCACCCCCCACCCCCCCTCCCTGTCTAGTTGGCATCCCCAAGTAGTGTATCTCTGTATTCATATACTTCCATATTACCGTTAAATGAATTTTGCACTACCAAGGGTTCACAAGACCAATTGGTCGAGGGAACCCGAGGTTAATAAAAATTTTAATTTCCCGAAAAAGTAGTTGTACACAATTTTATCGTTTTTTGAGATGAAAATGCGCGAACTTTTTCTTAAAAACTTCATATAGAGGGTGGTTATTTTACATAACTGTCCCAAGGTACGTAAAGTAACTTAACCTCCCTCTATTGGGAGAATCATAGGTCGGTAATGTTGGTCAAAAGGCGGTAAAAATTATAACTATGAATAAAATAAGCTGACTTAGATTCTATGCGAAAGGAATTACTTCTTTGCTACAATCCTTATATCTTTGCAACCCAATGTCGTTATTTCAAACTATACAAGTTTATAATATAAAAGTTTTATACCATCAGGTTGCAAAGATATAGGGATTAGAAAATTTGAGTTTGTGGCAAAGACTCAATACTTTATGAATGTAACCAAAAGTAGTTTTTCTAATACTCGGTTTAAGATATTCTAAACATGATCATAAAAAAGTAGGATCTCAGAACTAATTCTCTTTATCTGTTGAAGTTGAGAAAATAATTACAGGGGATGATCTATAACATAGATTGATGTTATAAAAGAATTATCGTGTCAAAATTCTATTTCTTGACGTATTTTCGACCTTAATGGAAACTCACGTGCAACGTAAAATTTTTTAAGTAACCGGATAAAGAAATTGAGTCTTTGCCACAAACTAAAATTGTCTAAACCCTATATTGGTGTACCCCTTTGATGTTTCAAACTTAGATTATTTGATTTCACAGAACTTTTAGTTTGTATTATCTAAGGTCTACGACATTAAGTTGCAATGATATATAGTGTAGAAGATCAGAGTTTGTGGCAAACACAATTACTTTGCTACAAACGAGCTACGAAGAAACAAAGTCATGCCAGTAAGCAGTAATAACGCATACATTTGACCTTCTTCCTCTGTCATGCCAGTAAGCAGTGATAACGCATACATTTGACCTTCTTTAGCTGTCTAGTTTGCAGTGATAGAGATAGATTCATAGAAACAACTAAGACAGGTATATAAGGTTAATTTTATAACAGATATATCAAGAATTGGTTACCTGCCGATGTGGATAATAAAGAACATTTATCATTAATTGGTCACAATTCTTTTTCTGGAAGTTTTTAAAATATTTTCCAATTTATTAATTCTAATTTCTAATTACAAAATAATAAGATTTAACAGAATTATCTAAACTTTCTTTCTAAAGAGAAATCTCGTTGGACTCTAAACTCATAACACAAGACTCGGCTCTGAAAAAAAATACTATAGACAGAATTTAAAGGGACTGTAAACAGAATTTAAAAGGACTGTAGACAGAATTTGAAGGGACTGTAGACAGTATTTAAAGGGACTGTAGACAGAATTTAAAAGGACTGTAGACAGTATTTGAAGGGACTGTAGACTGAATTTAAAGGGACTCTAGACAGTATTTAAAGGGACTGTAGACAGTATTTGAAGGGACTGTAGACTGAATTTAAAGGGACTGTAGACAGTATTTAAAGGAACTGTAGACAGTATTTAAAGGGACTGTAGACTGAATTTAAAGGGACTGTAGACAGTATTTAAAGGGACTGTAGACAGGATTTAAAGGGACTGTAGACTGAATTTAAAGTCTGAATCACAAGTTCACAACGGTACCCTGCACAGTTTACATAGAGATGGGCAGTTTTCACTTTTTTGAAAAACGCTCGTTTCGTTTTGTTAACGAGGGGAAAAAATCTGAAAACAAAATGATCATTTTTGAAAGGGATGAAACTAAGTTATAATAGTTTTTAAGAAGAAAAAATCGAAACGATCGTTTTGAAATGAAAACGATTTGAATATACAAATTACAAACCTCACTTCGAACGAGAAATTTGTTTAAATAAAATTTAAACAAAAACGATCGTTTTTACTTCAAACTGAAGTCCTTTCGTTTTTGGTTTTTAAAAGCTTAAAACTAACACTTCGGTAGTTTCAACAATTTATTTCTAAAAATAAATGTTAGTTTTTTGTAAATCCAAAACGAAACTAAAAACAATCGTTTTTGAAAGCGCTGCCCAGCCCTAAGTGTACAACTTAGTCTTATCAGGAATTGATTATTTAAAATTCTAATTTTTTTTAAAGGTGACTTGTGGCTTTATATTTTACTGACAAGGAAGAAAGTTGATAGAATTTAACACTTTTGAAGATTAAAAAACACGTCATTATCGTAAGTTTCGATCATATTAAGGTTTGAAGGACCGATGTGAAAAGGACCAAAGAATCTATAAATATCATCTACAGTCCCTCTTACAAGGATTATTAATTTTGAATGAAAACAAAGGTCATTTCAAAAAAGTTATAAATAAAAGGTTTTTTGAATGATAAAAATCTTACACTTCTGCATGAAGAACAGGAAGGTTTCTGACCCTGCATCTTCTGAGGGTATCTGTAGGGAGCTGATCAGTGCGTCGGAGTAGAGATCGAAAATCAAATGGACCATCTTCCTGGCTCAACTCACCGTGGGTAGAAGCACTCTTTTTCAACTAGAAATTAAATCATTAAAGGGATTGTTCACGGGTTATAGACAAAGAGAATAGAATATATATTAGAGAGGAATTTAGACAATCCCTCGGTATGTATTTGTTCAGTCCCTTTCAGCCTGAAAGGGAGTTCAAAGTGTGCAAATCATGTAAATGTTCAAAAATTTTATGCAGTAGAGTACATTAATACAGTATGTTCCCTAGAATATTCATTTCAATTTCGAATTTTTTAAAGCTGTTAAATAAGCTTTATAATGAATTAAGTGAATAATAAACATCATTTGAGTTATATTTGTAACGGAAAATCATCGTTTGTAAAGTGAAAGGCATAGAGTCTATGTGAAATGATCATTGGTCAATTATGAAACCAGCCTATTTCATAATTTGGTTTTCCTTTAATATTAATTTTAGATTTTCTATAAAATGATATTCCAGGGCCAAAAAGGTTATATAACATAAATATGTAAAGTACACCTGCAGTATGGAAACAGTACAGCAAAATTGCCGTTTAACACTTTTTTCTAGTAAATTCCCCTCTAATATATATTCTATTCTCTTTGGTTACAGGATGATTTATAAAAATTGTTTAAATTACCATGTTTAGCTGATGTACAATGCTTGTACTCATCTGTTTGGTTTCTGCTGCAGGTTGGAACATTTTTCTATTTGATACAGGATACTTTGCTCTGGTAGCTACTGGAGACTTAGCTCTTGATGATGTTGAGGCAGGAGATCTTGATCTGGATGCTGTTGGAGACACAGCTCTGGATATTGGTGTAGATCCTGCTCTAGATGCTCCTGGAGATGCTGTTTTTGATATAGCTCCTGGAGTGAGTATACCCGATGGCGTCCCGTGTAAAGCTGCAGTGTTCAGTCCTCCATGATAGGTGGCGCTAGTTTTCATCTGAACCTTGGCTGGGGGAGATTTTGTCATAGACTTATTCATCCTAGAGCTAGTAGAGGGGACTTTTAGAGATCGGTTGTTTTCTTGTCTTGGGGACTCATTATCCTTGCTGGGTACCCGGACTTTCTCAGTAGTTCTTTCTTTAATAACATGGCCAACATCGTGAGTTATCTTACAGCCGAGCTCATAAACCAGTGCATCAATATGGAAGTCCCAAGGATCACTGGGACCCTTGTCAGAGTAGAAGTTTACCATATCGTACAGTTTAATTGGAGGAAGAAACATGTCATTATGTCCCTTGTTCAACTTTTGTATTTCTATAAAATCTTCTGGACCCATCTTCTTGAGTCTAAAGTTTGATGGAACAGGTTGAATAGTCTCAATGTTACTGCTTTCTTTATTCTTCTTCAGGGATAATTGAATATCCAGGTTGTCAGTGAAAACCTTTCCAGAGAAAATCTTAAACATTTCTTCTTGTGTTATGATGGCCTGGGTTTGATGACCTTTAATTGCCTTTTCAATTTCAGCCACTGCTGCCTTTGCCTGGTGTATATTCAAGCCTTCCTCCTGTAATATAATTTGTGTAAACTGAAAAATATTAGTTTAGAAAAAATAATTTTAAGTGACATTTTATAAAAAGGAATTGAGTCTTTGTCACAATCTCTGATTTTCTAATCCCTGTATCTTTGCAATCGAAAGTCGCAATCCTTTGGTATTTCAATCTGTTCACCATCATGTTGAAAAGATATAGGGTTTAGAATATTCAAGAATGTGGCAAAGACTCAATTCCTTTTTTAATTTTACCATTAACAATTTACAACCTAAACCTTTATCAACTACTGGTGAGTAAATGAGCGAGCACATATCAAGCAATTTCTTCTCCAGTATTAAAAATAATGAAATCTCTATATCTAAGGCTAGTGTTGTGAATTATTGCTGGTATCTATGTTAAACCACTCACCTTTAAAATTTCTTCTGCCTCCTCTTTTCTGCCAGGATTAATTGACGACAGAACTTTAAGAAGGTCGTATCTGGCTTTAACACCCAGTTTTTGTCGAACTGAAAACCCTCTAAAATGTCTCTGTATTTCCAGAGCCGCCTTGTTCTTTTGCATTGTGGAGAATTTCGTATTGGGTTTCCTGAAATTTCATTTTAATTTACAAATATTGAAAAGTTACTAATTTATAAAAATTACGAAATTTCAGTTATACAAGCATATTTTTTTGCAGAATTTAAAACCAAAAAACTGATTGAGATGCATGTTTTTGTCTGTGATTATTTTTAAATATTAAAAAATGAGGAGTGATTTATGAATTATAGTTATAGTTATTTGTTTGAGCCGACTGGTATGAATTAAAAACCATAAAAAAGATTAAAAAAAAGGATAATTTACCTTATTCTTGTGTTTCCTTTGGGTACGGTAGATTTATATCGTTTCCACTTGTTTGTTATTCGTTTAACCATCATCATTTTTGACGCCAATTTAGACGTTTTCTCTCGTTCTGCCCGTCTTTTCGCCAAGTACCTTCTAACTGTAGACTGAATAACAACTATTTTTCGATACTGAGAATTAAAGATGTTAGAAAGATAGTTGATGTGATAATATTTAAGGAATATCTTTCTTTTTCCACATTCAAACCCATCAATTGACAGTCTGAGCATGAGAAGCTGGGCATTGTCTTTTGTAGCCACGACTCTTTCATCAAAGTCGAATCCCAGAAAGCAATATTGACGAAGGAATTCAGCAAAGGAAAGCCTATGAGGGAATCCCTTCTTTCGCACATAAGCAAACTCTTTTATATTAAATGCTTCAACTTGCTCCCCCAGATTAGCATTGTTATCAAAGCAGAATATGATGCTCATCCTGGTGTTAGCTATCAGCTTCATCAATTCTTCAATCCAATACCTGTACCTTATAATTATGGTTTGCTGGGCTAGTGTTTGGGAATATCCAACAGTCTCTCCATTGTCATCAAAGTCTACTTTTCCAAACTTGTCCAATGGAAACTGAAACAGATTTCTCAGACACTCGTCAGAGGATGACGTCATGGTTTGGATAATTTCGGGGTTAACAAAATTCTCATTTCGTTCAAACATTCCGCTTGTATCGTATTTGGTTTGGGACCAAAAATGATTTATTTTCAGAGAATTAGATTCCAAATGGCAATCCGGGGAGCTGACATACTTGCCACCAAGATATTGTTTGCCGAGGTCTCGGTCAAAGGAGCACATTTGGCTGGAGCACTCGTTCAGTACGGAGAAAAATCCAGAATCGGAGAGGAGAGAGTCAAGAGTAGCCCTGTTGTCCTTTACATTTGGATACTGTAATTTGATCCTGTTTTGTTTTGCCTCAATCTCTTCTAGTTTAATGGTTAGCTTGATTACCAACCAGTGAATGATCTCGTTGGTACAGTTTGCCAGGAGGGTTCCAAAATCATCTGAAACAACTCCAGTTTTGACAGCGATGCTTGGGAATTCTGTTATAGTGATCGAATGCTTGAATCCATGAATAGCAATGGAAAGTTTGAGATGACCGTTAATATAGTCCTCAACCCAATCCAGTAGCCTACTGTACAGAACACCGGCAAAAGCAACAGAATTGATTTCGGGTTCTTGACAGTGAAAGAATTTTCCATCCGTCATAACATTGGTTTGAGTGAGAGCTCTGACCAGAAACTCTGCATCTAACTCCAGAAGGTTGGCAATAGTTTCTAGAACGTCTGTATTCACTACTTGATGAATATCTCCTTCCCTTTCAAATGTAAGTTTGCCAATAAGTTGAATAGCAACAAGAACTCGTAGAATAGTATGAATTCCAGTTTCTGTACGAAACCCAAGAAGCTGGAGTGATTTAATAAACTTGGTGTAATTACTCAAAGTCTCTTTCAATAACATATCAGGCATATCTTCCTCCGACAGAAAATGATGAAGACCAAACTCCCTTATTCGTCCCTGCATCCTTAATCCTATTATAACCGTTTGAAAAACTGCTAAATCGTTCACGGCAGTTTGAAAGTTAGTTAATCCGTCCTGGAAGAAAGTATCAAACTGGGCCCCGCTCAAGCAACCAGTACTGTTGAAGCAAAGCTTTGTAACCCTAAATGCTGACTTACCCTGGTTCAAATTTCGTGATGTCAACATTTGTATGATAAAATCTGCTCCGAGAACTTTATCATGAGTATTTTTCACTTCAAACCTCTCCTCTGAACCTAGTTTACACAGTGTATTCAGAGCCATGGAGTATGTATTGCCTATTCCACTTGAAGAGTAACCATAGATCAAAAGTAACTGATTTTTCTTCTCATGGTTCATTTTGTTAAATGCATTTTCTGCCTCTGCCACAATATGCGGCTCATTGGGTTCAAATTTCGGTATTTCAGTAAAGTCCTGATACTCAGGGCTAACTGCAATCAATAAATCACCCACGTATGTGAATGCAAGTTTGGCTTCTCGTCTTTTTTGCAAAGTTTCCGCAATCTTCTTTGACTGCATGTATTCGTGACTGTTCACAATATTCTCAGTTTTGATCATATCCACATCATTCAGAGTTTTATGTTTTAACTCCTAAAAATAAAAAAATTAAAATTTACATTCTTTGATTTCTCATTTTAAATCAAAAAACTTAACATAAAAAGAAAGAAAAAACATCTTTTTGTCAATGATGCCTGTGAGATTTAAAAAAATCGCTTTTCTTAGAATAGTTAAAAAATGTAAACCTTATGAATAGCAGTTCCAAACTCATCAGCCTTGTTCAATTTCTCCTTATCCACCCATTTCATCAGCATACATAACCCTCAAACAAAATTGCAAATAAAAAACCCAATTTTACCGAAAATGTAACAAAATAACAAAAGAGGTAAAGCTTCTCCGGACAAAGATATTTTGTTTCCTAGACTGTTATTCTAATTAATCGACAGGTTTCGTACAAAAATATTTATATAAATATATTATTTTTACGTGAAAAAATGAGTGCAAAATTTGACAAACATCTAATGTAAATACATTGATTGCAATCGTTAAAGAATAATCCCCCGTGAAATCTTTATAATAAAACAAGACATTCGTTTATGTTGCGTATAGCCGGCCAAACTAATAAAATTGGATTTTTTTTTTCAAAATTTGTTTTTCAATTACTTTTCCACGGGCAACGCTAGGACCTTCAGCTAGTCAATAATATTTCAATAATAAGAATAACTTTTTGATAAACTGTCCTATCTACAGCATTGCCCGACCAATCAAATCCTAGAAAACCTAGGAAGTACATTGACAGAATTTCATTCTACAGTTGTAACATCAAGCATCTAAAGATTTGAAAAATTGTGCAATGAAGATTTTAGCCCCTAATGAAAACCCCATAGTATACTATTTGTATCCATAACCCAAATGAAATGGTTTATCTAAAAGTACACTACTGTCAAGAAAAATAAAAATTACAAAAAATGTACATGTCTTTAGTAACAAAAAATAGTTAAATTTGAAAAAAATTACCATGATACTTAAACAAAATAGAATTATTTTTAATTATTTTCACTCATATTTCAACAAATTAGTAAATATATTAAATTAAATTGAAAAATTGTGAAAGTTTTAACAAAGATATTTTAACAAAATAACATATTTAAAATGGTTTTACTGATATTTAGACAAACTTGCAAAACATATATTTAGACCATAATTTTTACTAAAATCACTGATTTTTAAAATATTATGACTATGATAATTAAAAAGATTGGAAAAATGTTATGGCTGATATTTGAAGAAGAATTTACCATGTTGAATATACGTTGGATTCTGTGGAATAGATTTGAAGAGAGGATGTTCTATTACTTCCTGCAGAGCCAAAATCAGACTTTTTATCAGAGGAAATTATTTTTTCTAAATTGTTAAAAAAGATGATTTTTTTAGTAATACACGTTTTAAACTTTATTGAAAACAATTTTTAGCATTTAGAAGTTTTGAAAATCTTCAAATTTTTGTTTGTTTGATTTATTCCTGGAGCATAGGTCTTTGATCATAATCTTTGATCAAGGTTTCAGTCACTATGTCATGTAGAGCTAAACCCCACTCCTCAGGGTGGGATAACCTAGCATGGATTTATTATCTATGATATTTATTTACATGTTCAGTGGGATAACCTAGTATGGATTTATAATCTACGATATGTATGTACATGTTCAGAATTTTCTGTCACAAACAACGTTGTATCAAATAAATCTAATTTTTTCGTTTGTTGAATTGCAGGGGATATATGCCAAAATGCTTGCTTTTATTTCCTTGTTTAGATTTTTTTATAATCTCGATGGCAGATTTTTAAAAAATCGTGATATTGATTCTTTAGTCATTCCTCTGTTTTTGTTAGTTTACCTTGTTGGTAGATTTTTGTTAGTTTACCTTGATGGTAGATTTTTGTTAGTTTACCTTGTTGGTAGAGTTTTGTGAGTTTACCTTGGTGGTAGATTTTTGTTAGTTTACCTTGTTGGTAGATTTTTGTTAATTTACCTTGGTGGTGGATTTTTGTTAGTTTACCTTGGTGGTAGATTTTTGTTAGTTTACCTTGGTGGTGGAGTTTTGTTAGTTTACCTTGGTGGTAGATTTTTGTTCGTTTACCTTGTTGGTAGATTTTTGTTAATTTACCTTGGTGGTGGATTTTTGTGAGTTTACCTTGGTGGTGGATTTTTGTGAGTTTACCTTGGTGGTGGATTTTTGTGAGTTTACCTTGGTGGTGGATTTTTGTTAGCTTACCTTGGTGGTAGATTTTTGTTAGTTTACCTTGGTGGTGGAATTTGTTAGTTTACCACCTTGTTGGTAGATTTTTGTTAGTTTACCTTGGTGGTAGTTTTTTGTTAGTTTACCTTGGTGGTGGAATTTTGTTAGTTTACCTTGTTGGTAGATTTTTGTTAGTTTACCTTGGTGGTGGATTTTTGTTAGTTTACCTTGGTGGTGGATTTTTGTTAGTTTACCTTGGTGGTGGATTTTTGTTAGTTTACCTTGGTGGTAGATTTTTGTTAGTTTACCTTGGTGGTGGAGTTTTGTTAGTTTACCTTGGTGGTGGATTTTTTTAGTTTACCTTGGTGGTGGATTTTTAGGTATCTGCATAAGTGCTCTCATAGGATGTAGATTATGTAGAGGTGGGGCTCCTTCAGCTTGAAATATTCAATATACATAGTGCGTTGACTAAATTTAGTGAAAAGTGAAAAGCAGTTGAACTATGCAGACTTAGTTAAACAACTTCTTTTTAACATTAGGCGTCCACTCAAAAGAAGGGGTTCAACTAAAGAATTGAGTCTTTGCCACAAACTGCTAGTTTCTAATACCTATATCTTTGCATCCTGAGATGGATATTCCTAAATATGAATGCTGTTTTAGATAAATAATCTAAGTTTAAAATATCAAAGGTTTACTCCATCAGGTTGATAAGTTATAAGGATAGAAAATTTGAGTTTGTGGCAAGGACTCAATTCCCTAAGTCCAGTACCACTAGACATATCTAAACAAAATTGATTGTTCATATTACATTTCGAAATAGTCAATTGATATGATCAATAAATAATAAAAATATAAAACAAAGTACATCAGATATGAGGGTTGAGAAAGAAATTGTGGTTTTTGTTTCGCTCTTTAAATGTGCTTACCTAGCTCAATAATTGTAATACCTAGAGACCATACATCACATCTAAAATAATAATATTTTTAAGTTTTTCATAATCGAATAGATCGAATGCCTCAAACTCTACTCTTCTTTTATGTAATCTGAAGAACTTTTAATTTCCATAACTTTCCAGATTATAGCTTTGTTATTTAATAGATCTTGTAAAAAAAGCATTTTATTCTCTGATTAAAAATAGGCATAAAATTTAATTTCAAAATGTTTTGAATATTCTACCTTCCATCATACTCCACAATTACATCTGGATCTCCAGCTAGTATAACCTCAGGGGCCATCCAGTAGGGGGTCCCTACACGGGTCCTTCGTCGTTCTTCAGCATTCCCTAACTATAATTTATATGGAATAATAATAATTATGATAGTAGTAAGGATGTTAATAATAATAATAATAATAATAATAAAAATAATTATAATAACAATGATAAGGATTATAATAATAATAATAACCTGACAAGAAATACCGAAGTCCACTAGTCTAACTTCTCCCTGTCTGTTAAGAAGAATATTACTTCCTTTAACATCTCTATGAATACAGTGACTCTCCTGAAAACAGACCAGATTTAGAATGAGATTAAAATTCATTACATTTTTATTTAACATTTATGTCAAATGTCAATTTTAAAATTTCCATTAAACTCTCTAAAAAGATCTAAAAATTCAATTTGCTACGATACAAATTTTATACAATTACAAAAGTTTAAAAAATTTAAATCTTGGCTTTTAAAATCTTTCTTTGGAAAAAAAAAAATGATATTTTCGAAATTTAAGGAACTGTAAACACAAATTCAAAGGAACCTCTATGCAAAGATGGCAATGACCGATTTACAACGGTACCCTTGAACGCTTTGTCTGATCAAATATGAATTAGATATCCATGTTTTTGTTTATTTAAAACTGTTTTTCATTTGATGGGGGTTTTCTGCAAAAGCGATTTAAGAAATTTTTTTTTAAATCTCGCTTCTTAGTTTTGCAGATTTACGGTTTTTTATTGGAGGATAACTAGCAAAATTTACATGTATACAGTCTTTCCAAGGTTCGACAAAAGATTAATCCCAATTGATTTAGCCCGCATCAAACTAAAGCAAACTTAAGCATGAAAAATTGAAATCTATTATGTTTTCAATCATAATCCTCTGATTAGGAAGCTATTGAGAAAAAACTAAAATGTTTTAAATGGATATAATGTAACCAAATAAATTTGCCTTTCTCATATTTGCGAGTAAAATTAGAACAATAGGAGCAACAATATGACAAAGTCGTATCAGTAATATTAATGTTATTTGACCTTCTCCTCCTGGTTAGTTTGCAAAATATAATTTTGTCTTGAAACCCAACTTTACCTGTAAGTAGATGAGAGCATGTAGGACCTCCTTGATGATGTACGCTATCTGATCATCAATAAGACGACGACCTCGTTTCACAAGTTGTCGAGCTAGTTCAGATGCAGGTCCAGCATCACACAGCTCAAGAGAGAACCATATATGTGGTCCACATCTAGTTACGAAATATTGAATTCTTTGAATTAATCAAATATGTACAAAGCACTGCAGTTTTTAGTTACATTGTTATAAATAAAGGATGAGACTTCAGATACGACTGTATGGAATTCATTCATTCTTATTTTTTTACATTTCTGGCTACCTGCAACTGTATATGTAACATATCTCTTTACTTATTAAATTAAATTTTTACTTATTTTTTTATTTGAATAAGTAAAATTATAGTTTTCTATCATTTTGGGAAGTTTTTTTTCTTTTCATTTCAAAATGATAAATGATATCTTTGCCAAAGGTTTATCTTATTTTGGAATATTTTTACCCATTTCTTCATATTTAATAATATATTCTAATTAAATTTTACAATATTTTTAAATATTTATATGGTATCAGATAAAAATATTTTGAGATTTCTGTACTTCTTGTTCTTAATTTTCTTTTGTTCGTTTATCTTTCATACATCTTTTATACAGCTTTCAAAATAGTTTTATTAAAATAGAGTTGCGGAGCAGGTAGGAGAGAGATAAAAAATTTGTAGGAAGAAGGGTTATAGGGGATTCCTCCCTGTGTTCCTTCTATTATACTCTTTCCGAGTTAAGGGGCATTAAGAAAACTCATAACTGCACCCATAACTGCAAAATGGGGAGTTGTAAACTTGTGAGCTCTCTCTAGAGAGGAATCTTCCATAGCAGTCCAGTCCTCACACCTAATTGAGTAAAAAACCAGTATGGTTGTGAATGGGTTGTACACCCATCAGGGGTTAAACTCTCTCTTTCAGTACACCAAGCTGAAGATGAAGTTTTGTTTTATTCTATGTACATTCCTTGCTCCCCTGCAAGGATACAAAATGTGCAACTAGACACAACGCTCCTATAAACTGTAATTCTGGGACCACATAAGATAGGTCCGCTCTCTTCTGATGAAGCCAAAGAACTGTATTTTACCCATTCTAATATTTGTATTAGATTCTGTTAAAGTTCTTAGGTACTCTGAAAACCTTTCTGGGATTTGATTAAAGTTTGAAGAATGAGGAAAAGTTCACTTCTGATTTTCAATTCACAATATCATATTGAAATCATATTTGAATCAATATTAGCAAACATATGCGGCTCTACTGCATTCGGCGTGGGGGTATTTTGAAAGGGGAGGGTTTTTTGTAAGTTGAGGGGATATATTTTGTAAGGGGAGGGATGTTTTGTAAAAAATGGGGAAACATATTTGCAATGATGGCGTCTATAGTACACGGTAAATGAGAGGTTCTGGTTAAAAGTCCATGAGCATTGACTTAAGAACCCATTTTTTTCTTTGTTAAATGGAGATTTTTCGTATTTGCTATTTGATTCTTTATTGTTTGTATTTCGAGTATTTCGAGTGTAAAAGTATATAAAATCTTTCACGGCATTTTCGACGGATTCTAAATTAAAGAAGAAAATATAGTTGTAGTTTTACGTGATAAATCTGACCTGAATGCTCCATAGAGTTGGGGAATATTTGGATGCAGACTGTGATCTGTCAGTATCTGATATTCCTGAAGAACTTCTTCAATGTTCTCTTCAATATTCTCAACTATCTTGATTGCAACTTGTCGTTTAGAAACTACATCAACAGCTCTGGAACGGAAATAATGGTTATGTATATGTATTGCATTACGCAATTACTTCCAAAGATGATTATTTTATAAATGTTATAATTGATTTGAATCTTACAAAGTTTTTTTTCGACTCTATCAAATTTGTATAGGACTCTTATCAAGGTTTTATGGGGTTTATCCTAGTTTTATTGGGGTTTGTCAAGGTTTCATGAGATTCTGTCAACGTTTATGGGATCCTACCATATTTCTGTAGGATTATCTCAAATTTACTTGATTCTATAAAAGTTTTATGAGATTCTTTTGAAGTTTCCAGGATTCTATCAAGCTTCTATCAGCTTTATGGCCGGGATTCTATCAACGTTATATGGTTTTCGATGGTTTTCGTTTTCGGATTCATTCCAAATAAAATTTTGAAGATTTGAAGTTTTTAATACAAAAACATATTTCCAAAAGTGCAGAGTGTGCAAAGAACAAAATAATTTGCAAATTATTATTCTTGTATTATTTGTACTTTTTCAAATAATAAAGAAATTGAATAGACGTTTTTCCTTGGTAATTTTCTAGATAGAATTTCCTTTTAATTATATAAATTTGTTTACAATGATTGAAGGTTCAGTTGGCAGATTCATATTTAGTGTGTTCAAAAACAAAACTTCATTTAGAATCATACAGATTTCTGAGCAGTACCAAATGGAACTAAGGACACTTCTCGAAAATTCTTATTTTAATTAATCCCTATATCTTTATAACATGATGGTCTAAATTCCCAGGATAGTTAACACTATATTTGATGCGTCTAATATGATAGTTTGAAATATCAAAGGTCTTTGACTTCCGATATTATTGATAGGAGGGTTAGATAGTCGAGGGTTAGAAAATTAGAGTTTGAGACTTTTTTTCAAAGAAATTTCGTTTAAGAAATATGTTGGACAGAAAAATCGGGTTTTAAAGAAAAGCTATTTTTATCATTTTTATATGTTTTTATTACTATAACACATTTTTACATCTTTAATGTTAATTTTTTACTTCGGACTGATAAACCAATAGAAATAAAAAGTTGTTCTGAACCGTGAATTATTATAGTTGTGGTGTTCCGAATGTCTCTTACCTGTGAACTAGGCCATAAGTTCCTTGCCCTATCTCTTCAAACAGATCAAACCGTTCTACAGCATTAGCTGGAAGAGCCAATACATCCTCCTAAACAAATGAAACAAATAAAAAATCAAATAAATAAAACAAATCAAACAAATCAAATAAATCAAACAAAAAATTAAACAAATGAATCAATTCAAACAAATAAAAAAATAAAAAAATAAAACAGATCAAACAAATTAAACATTCTTTTTAACATTCAGATCAGAACTATGAAGCTATTATTCAATACATCTGATTTTATTTCGCATTCGATTCACGAAGCATTTTTTTCGTAATTAATGCCTGGTTACAACGGTACCCTTATGTCTGATCAAGTATGAGTGAGGTATCAATGTTTCTGAATTTTAAAAAACTGATTTTTCAATTGCGATTATACTTTACAAAGTGACTTGGGAATTTCTATTTAAGGAAAACACAAAATAATTTTAAACCATAAAAACGACAATATCCTCCACATTAGTGGCCAGGTATAGGTTGGAGGGTACCGCTGTTAGCCTACCATCACTTAAAAGTACCTTAGTACTTAGTTGTGTACCTTAGTAAACTGACTATGGATAAATGCCTCGCTATGATTGGAAGTTGATGATCTCCGAGAGGAATTATCTAAACATTTAAAGTGATCGCCATGAACACACTGATTCTTAACCCTATTCCCGCTGGGGGGGGGGGGTCAATTTGACCCCCCCCCTGTAGTTTTTTCTACATAACTCAAAAAGTATTGGTCTGAGGCTGTTGAAATTTTCTGACTTTTCTTACATACCCAAAGCCCTCCCTTTAGGCCTAAAACCGGGCTTTAATACTAACTGCCTGAGTCCTCAGGCACACTGCCTGAATGACTGCTTTTGCCTGTAGCAAACTAAATCTTTGTTTTGACCCACTTTCACTTGTCAGATTTTGATAAAATTTAGCTTTTTGGAAAGCCTATGACATAAGGAAACGGATTGCACAAATTTTGCGAAAAAAAGATTGCAAATTTTTTGCAAAAAACCTGTCAAAGGAAATTTGCACATTTTTAGTTTTTCTTGATTAAAAATCAGGTTATTTAAAATTTTGCAAAAATTTTTGCATATTTGAAATGGCATGGTCAAGGGCTTTTCAAAAATGTATAATTTGTCATTTTTTGGACAAATTTTTTTTTGCAAACATTTTTACTATAAAACTGGATTTTGCGATAAAAAATTCAATTTTCGCAAATTTGCAAATTTTTTTGCAGATTCTAAAAGTAGAGCACAAGAGCTTTCTAATGATGTATCATTTGTCATATTTGGACATAAAACATGGGATTTAGAGGGGGGGGTCAAATTGACCCCCCCCCCAGCGTATCCTGGTTTTCAAGTACCCCAGCGGGGATAGGGTTAAAGGGATTGTAGACAAAAGTTTTGATCGTCTTGGACACAAATACATTACTCCAAAAATGGCAAACTTCTTTAAATTCTGAAAAATTAAGTTTTTTCAACCTTCAAACCAGCGTTGAAGCAAAGTCGACCTATATCTTTCTGTTTCATTTTCCAAAAATGACACAAAATCTAAAATTTGGCTGAATTTCAACATGAAATTAACTCACAAAAAAACGTAGTTACGACAAAGACAGTATAATTGGTGTTATTTTTCGAACCTTAAAATGTTTATTTTAGTAATTACGCGATGCTCAGAACCACTTATACATTGGTTTGGCTGGGGGCCGGGGGGAGGGGGGTCGCGTCGTATATTGGCAAACTCAAATTCTCTTTTATTGTTGTCTTATCTGCGCATTTTGTCCATTCTGTGCAATCCGTTGCTTTCAGTGATACATCGTTTAAGAATTTATTAACTTTTTTTAATCGATGAAGGAGTTTAAACAGAACAGTTTTTCTTTTTCATATAATCTTAAACAGTAACAATTATAAAGGAATTGAGTCTTTGCCACAAACTCTGATGACTAGAGCTTTGCAACCCAATGACAGAACTTAGATATTTCAAAATAAAAATTCTATTAGATAACATAATCTAAGTTTTAAATATCAAAGGTTTACAGTAGAGGCTTCAAAGATATAGAAATTAGACAATTTGAGTTTGTGACAAAAACTCAATTCCTTTAGGAGAATTTTCTGTTTTTATTTTATAAAATCAAAAAATATATTTGAGTTTATCCGATTTTATGATTATGGGTTACAATAATAATATCAAATATATATCTCATATTTATATAGATATATATGGATAAAACCTACCATGATAATTAGATATTAAATATATATCTCATATTTGTATATATGGATAAAACCTACCATGATAATGAGATGGAGACATCTCCTTGTTCATTGTTAAAGCGGGAGACAGAAATCCATTCGGAGTTTTGACAGACAGTTCAGCTAAACCAGCAGTCTGGAATGAATATATTCTAAATATTATCAATCTAATAAAAGGGCCACGAATTCAACTAACCTGATGTACAGAGAGAACCAGAAAACAGGAAAACTACTTTTAGACAAAAGTTATGATAAAGTCAAATGAATACATGACACAGCAGTTGTGCACTCATTTCATTGAATAAATGATTTAATTAGCTACTATTAAAACTACTTGCTTTGTAACAACATCAAATACACTAAGTGATTTTTTTTAATGTCGTCTTCCAACTTCACAGTTTTCTGGTTCTCACTGTGATTCTATTGGATCGTAATATCGAGCTGCCAAAAGTTTTGTTAGAAATTAATAACAAAATTTAGGGATTTTTTACAAACTTTAAAATATCAAACATTCTAATATTGAACGTTTCAATATTCATATTTCAAGAATATGACTTTTACATTTTAGGTTAAAACACGATTTGTAGGATTGAAGAAGCTATATTTTCAGAATGTTAAACAAAAAATCAAAAATATTAGAAGCACTGATGTTTTTGTATATGATTTTGATGATATAAGTTTACCTGCTGCAAATTTGAGTTGCTTTTTTGAGACATATGAGACATCTTTACCTAGTGCAATTTCATCTGAAATAAAGAAATTTAAATTCGGGTCAAGGAATGATTAATGACCCTTTTCATTCGATTGTACAACCAATTTTAGCCGACTCATAGGAACCAACCAAAAATCGGGTAGATTTAACTGAAAATGCAATTTGCACATCTTTGCGAATAACCCCTTTAAATGAGTTTTTATCAATAAAAACTATTAATAATAGAAGTTCATTGAGAAAAATTACGTTGTATCGTTAATTAATTAGCAATCTTTTTGGTTAAAAAAATAACTTTTTCACTGTGCAAAATTACCCTGACTTAAAGGGACTGTTTGCGTAAATTTGAGTAAATCTTCATTTTAAGAGTGGCGTGTCTGTTTCATAACAAAAGGACAATGAACTCAAAGGCTTGTAATTGTTAAACATTGCTTGCAAGCTGTTTTTATTTTGAGAAATATTAATACTCACTTTCTATAGAAGTCGCAGAAAATAAATATTTACATTAAAAATTAAAAAAAACTGCGTTGTTTCAAGGAATAGAAGCAAAGTTCTCAGCTGCTTCACAGGTTTAAATGGCATTTTCTCTTTAATAACTTTCACAGCACTTTGACCGTACNCCCCCATTCCAATTAAACCACATATATTAATTCGTATATCTTTAATGTTGATGTCAAACAAATATCAAATTTTAAGAAACAATAAAAAAATTTAACAAACGCTGGTTTTGACTGAAATAACGTTGAGCTTTTTTATTATAATGATCAAGTCTCTATTTTCAAGAACCCTTACATTGCAGTAAAACTCCTCCAAGAGGCAATTGAATTAAAGAAAAATTTAATGATAAAAAATCTTTTTATTTTCATTCTCTGATCTTTCCTTTTGCAATAAAATAGGGGATATAGATATATTATTTGCAAAAATTTAAATAATTAAATTAAATGAATTTATAAATTAAGTGTTGATGATCCTTATATCTTTACAACCTGGTGGTGTTAACATTAATTTTTCAAATTTTGTCTGTTTGCGCAAAATTTAGTTTAAATAGCAATGATCTACGACATGAGGCTGCAAAAATATAGAGATAAGATTATTTTTTTTCGAGTTATTGCAACAGTTTTGATTCTGCTTTTGTTGGTGTAACCTTTTTCTTTTTTTTTCTACAGTTTATTACTATTGGATTGTAAAGGAATTGAGTTTTTGCCACAACCTCAAATTTTCTAATTTTTATATCTCTGCAACCAGTGGGTGTAAACATTTGATATTTCAAACTTAGATTATTTGACCTAACAGAATTAATAGTTTGAAATATCTAAGGTCTACGACAATGGGTTTCCAAGATAAAGGTACAAGAATATTTGAGTTTGTGGCAAAAACTCAGTTCCTTTGATCTCAAAAATAAATAAAAAATATACATATACTAATTTTAAATCATTCTGTGCTAACTTGAAAAATAATACTTGCCTAAAATGCCTTGATCAGTTTTCAATTGTGATTAAACGGATGACAAAACTATCTAAAATCTCATATGATCAAAATTTCAAAATTGTCTAACAACAATTAGATCTGATGGATTGAAGCAACATTTAGTTGTGAAGGGTTGAATGACTGAAGGCTACTGAATGGTTTGACTGTACCTAAATCTTTCTAAGGCTTCTTAGCCAGTATATTGAACACATTTATCATGTTTAGGTTTAGGAGTGATTTATCGAACCTAAAGTAAACCAACTCCTAAAATCAAAGTTTTAAAACAAATTTAACAAACATTTCATAAGTAAAAATCTGCCAGATATGCAATGTTTAAGGTTAAGACCCCCCCCTCACCCTGTAAAGGGATCTAGCTAGGTATCGTAAGGCTTCTAATGGCACGTGGTCATGAATACTCTCAGAATACCTCGAAGGTCAAAATCAATTCTATCCAAATATGTCTTGTCAAACCTCACAGGGATTAGAGGGTTGCAAGCATAGATAAAGATAGATTGCGCATAAGACGACATTTTTCATCTTGAAAGATATAAATGTACAGAGATGTTTTAAAGATATTCCTATTATATAGATTAACTAGGTCGGTTGTGAACATTGGCTGTTCTTATGTCATTTACTTGTGGTGTACATGAGTTCTGTAGAGAGAAATTTAAGTTAGTTTAGTCCTTCTTATGTCCTTCTTCAGTTCTCGTCAAAATGATATATTGCTCAGTGAAATAATTTGATATTCTCAAAATAAAATTCAATCCTGAGTGGTTTAATAATTTTGAAATCCATTAAAACACCCAACAACCCCCTTATCATTGAAGTACACTTTAACCCCTAGAAGTATGAGTTCGCGGACAATACAATTCTTAGTGATTTTGCGTACATAAGCTATTTATGTTTATTTACGACACCTTAAAGATGATCCAATGAATTGATATGATGCCAATTTTCCAAGCAGTAAACGTGAATTTCCCTGGAAGGGGCTGCAGTTCATTTGGTGTACCGTACCGTGTTGTCTGGTACAGGGTGTCCCACGAAACATGACAGTATGCAGAATGACTTGAATGTCGTCTTGATTTTTGATATAATTTGCTGCGTTTATTTGTCAACCTAATTTTAGAAGTAAATTTCTAGAGATAATAATCACAAAATTTCCCTTGTCCTGCCATTTCCAAAATGTGGTCTGCCATTTTTGTGCTTTCAATATTGCCCGAGATATGAAGAATTTCGTTCAGATTTCGACAATTTTGCTTTTATTTAACAAAATTGAAATCTGAACCAAACTCTTTATATCTCCGGTAATATTGAAAGCACAAAAAATGCAGACCAGTTTTTGGAAATGCCAGGGCTAGGAGAATTATGTGGTAATTGTTTCAAGAATCATACATGTTAAAGTAGATAGAAGACTAAATGTCACAAATAAATTCAAATACCAAAGACGACTTTCAAGTCGTCTTGCTATTGTCATGTTTCGTGGGACACCCTTTATATGCTGTATATGTACTGTACAGCTCCCTCTAGCTGGTTAGATGTCGGACCGGTTCTTGAAATCAACCGGACTTAACAGTGAGTAGAGATGTGAACAATTGCATACTCCCGGGGAGGTTGCACAATAATCTTGAATTTAGCAACTTATCGGAAGTGGCGAGGATTTTTATTAAAGGACCTGAGTTCTTGCCAAAAACTCTGATTTTCTAATCCCAATATCTTCACAACCAGATTTTTTAAACCTTTGATATTTTAATCATTAATTCTGTTAGATTAAAAAGTCTAATTTTTAAATATTAAATACCAATAATTTATAGAACATTGTGATTATGATTATGACTTAATTTATGATTACATCTTATTTCAAAAATCACAAAAAAATTAATTTTGAAAAAAAAATTGTATGTATATTTCCTAAGGGATGGAAGGAAAATATCGATATTAATGAGGATTATAAAAAGAAACTTAATACTTGATAAAATTGAAAATTTGCAATAAAAAAATTAGCAACACTTACTTAATCCTTTCTAAAATTTCTTGATGATACAATTTAATCTAAAAATATTTTCATTGAACTTTTTAACTTACTCACATAAATGTAAACATAAAAGCTATAAAAGTATGAATCAGGAGTATTTAAATTTTTAATATTTTTAGTTTGGTATTTATTAGTTTTCAATTGCCAGAAAGTTGTCTCCGCCTTCATCACTGGTCTCATGTTTACTTACTTTTATTGATGCATTTTACTCTCAGAAATAAAATTGATTAAAAGATTCATGAAAGGTTTTCAACTGAATGAATAAAATAATTCCTGTTGGACAAAACAGTTCCGTTTAAAGGTTCTAAGAAAATGTTTTCACCCTCGATCCTTCATAAAACATTCAATTAAAATTTTAAAATGCCAAATTCCTGGAATTCTTTTTATTTTTTTTCCTCGGCAGTATCTGGAACAAATTGATAATCGTTATCATCATTATCATTATCATTGTCATTATTATAATTATTATAATTATTATTATTTTATTGTTATTATTATCATTATTATTATTATTATTATTATTATTATTTAATAATTACTGTTATTATCTACCTGCAGTAAACGCCTACAACCAGAATTAAGAACAAGGCGTAGAAAACTAAGAAGACGACCACACCCACAATCCAAGTTCCAACCCCTTGCTCCGCCCCAAGGATACAGGCTCCACCCCCACAATATCCATACACCTCATTTACTCCACATTCTACACCGTCAGGGAAACTAAACCAATAGATTACAGGCCTCATACTTAAACTTTCTAATCCATATATCTTTTCAACCTAATAGTTTAAATCTTTGATGTTTCAGACTTTGTAACAAAGACCTTAATGAAGCATAAGAACTGAGTTTTGACCACAAACTTTGCAACCCGAGATTTTAGAAAAATTTGTCGATTACTCGTCTGAAACACTACAACCTGATGGTGTAAGCATTTGATTTCAAACGTTGAAACATTTATTTAGCAGATTCAGTACTTTCAAATATCTAGGTCTACGAAACCATCTTGCAAAAATAATAAGGATCTTAAAATCTAAATTCACGGCATAAAATACAGTTCAGAGACGACTATGCTGCAGTGCAAAGAAAATAAAACGGATGTTTTCTTATATTGATGATTCTTTAAAACTTTTAGCTTATTTCTTCCTTTGTCCAGTCATCAAATAAGACATGAAAAGGATTAATTCAAGAAAAAACCTGATTTAACCTTGGAATCTTATATTTTAAGAGTTTTTGGTCGTCTTTCTAGCCTCATATTTTGTGGATAACTGTGTACGTATCTCAACTTTGATTTTCTTCAGTTGAGTAAATTAAGACAACTTTTGATTAAATTAAGACAACTTTTGATTAAATTAAGACAACTTTTGATTAAATTAAGACAACTTTTGACTAAATTAAGACAACTTCTGACTAAATTAAGACAACTTTTGACTAAATTAAGACAATTTTTGACTAAATTAAGACAACTTTTGATTAAACTAAGACAACTTTTGACTAAATTAAGACAACTTTTGACTAAATTAAGACAACTTTTGATTAAATTAAGACAACTTTTAATTGACTAAATTAAGACAACTTTTTATTAA